AGCTGGAACTCTCATTCACAAGAAAATAAAAGGAAAACAGTTTGTCAGTATTGTATGAAGTTAAAAATATACTTAGCATAAGCTCTAGCAGTCCCACTCCTAGGTATTTGTTTACCCGAGAGAAATGCAAACGATATCACACAAAAACCTGTACATAAATGTTTATAGCAGCTTTATTTGTAATTGCCAAAAACTAAAAGTAATCCAAATGCCATCAATTTGTGAATGGATCAACAAGGTAGTGGATTACTACTCAGCAATTAAAGGGAGTCAGCAATAGATATATGCAACAATATGAGCTGATTTCAAAAGCATTAAGCTAAGTGAAAGAAGCCAAACACAAAAGGGTTCATACTATATAATTGCATTTATGCAACATGCTGGACAAGGCAATGCTCTAGGGACAGAAATCACATTAATGAGTGCCTCGGCTTGAGGAGAGGGGATCTACTATAAAGAAACGGGGAAAGGTTTTGGTATGAGGGGAATATCCCATTTGTGACTGTGGTTTATGTTACTCATTCTATAAATAAGTTTGTCAAAACTGTGTACCCAAGAAATGGTAATTTTACCATATGTGTGTGTGTGTGTGTGTGTGTATTACTTTTCAAAAAACTTGCCTCTAAAAGACCAAAAAGAAGAAGGAAGTGGGAAAGACAGGAAAACCTTTGTGTTTTATTTATTCATTCAGAGGACTATTTAGAATTTTCTAATGCCACTCAAAGGAAAAGACACAGTTTTAAATATGGATACTCTGTGTAAATTATTTTGCAGTTCATTGTCTATACAAGCTTTCATGCAAAATTTCAAGTTGTTGCTATATCTTTCTGAAGGACACTTCATGATATGCCCTTGTCTAATCTTTAAACAGTCTTTTTCACATAAAATGCTTTTTATAGTCATCTTATGTCTTACATTTAACATTGTTCCTTAAATCATTATTCCTTATAAATCATTTTCACATATATGTTCAAAAATCTCTAAGAGCTGGTTTATGTTAGTTCTGTTTTACACAGGAAGAAATTGAGGTTCTACTTAGGTTTTTAAGCCAGCCTAAGGTCCTAAGGTCATAGAAGCACTAAGAGGGAGAACTAGAACTTGCGTCTTGGCCTTCATACTCTAAGTTCTGTGTGTTTTACACTAACACTACAGCATGAATAATGTAATATAGTAAGTTGTTATTAAGTGTTTAAAATGGACTATTATAAAGCATGGTTATGTTTCTGGGTTATTTATTCATCATGACAGTGGAATTGGATTTTTTAAGTAGATTGCCACAGCACTATTTCTTTTCCATTTAATGCTTTAAAATGTTTTACATACTTCCTTTCCTACTGTAATATTGACCATAATCAGGAATGTTTTGTATCAGTCCCACTGTATACAAGTGTCCATAAAAAAGACCCAAGATGCTTAGCCTACCAAGCAAGATTCACCACCATCTGGCACCAATCTCTTTTACCAGTTTTATTTCCTACTCCTGTCTCCTATTGTCTTAGTTGGCTCGGGTTGCTGAAACAAAATACCATCCATCAACAGGGTGGCTTAAACAGCAGATATTTTCTCACAATTCTTGAGGCTGGAAAGGCCAAAATCAAGGTTTGGCAGAGTTCAGTTGCTGGTGAGAGCCTGCCTCCTGGCTTTTAGACAGCCACCTTCTTTCTGTGTTCTTACATGACGGAGAGAGACAGAGAAAGAGAGAACTTTCCACAGTCCTGTCAGATTAGGGCTCTACCCTTATGACGTCATTTAACCCTAGTTACCTTTTAAAGAACCGGTCTCCAAATACCTTCAGATTGTGCATTAAGGCTTCATCAGTGAATTTCGGGGGACATAGTTTGATCCATAGCAGCTATTTAAACCCTTTATTACAACCATAGAAGTTTAGAGCTAGAAAGTACCTTTCACTCTTTCTTTAGTTAAAAACATTCCCCCCTCCTACTTATCTTCCTTTACCTATCTGAATCCTGACTATCTAATGATCTCTTCATCTGAATTTCTTCAGAGCTATGTTATGTGTCTATGTATGTATGTATATAGTCTTGTAAAATATGTAGTATTTAATATACTATTTACTAGTTCTGTTTTTGTTTTATTTGAAATTTTATTTCATATACCCTTATAGTTGTTTATGTTTTCTTAATTGCTTAACCATTTATCATTATGAAACATCCCATTGTGTCTGTTAATATTCCTTGACATGAATTCTGTTTTATCTGTTGAAATTAGCATTTCAGCTTTTATCTGTTTAGTATTTACATAGTTTTATCTGTTTTCATCCTTTTAAACATATCTGAGTCTTAAAGCCTATAGATGTTTCTTTCCTTTTTTTTTCCATCAGCATCAACCTTCAAAATAGTGTTTTAATTCACTTACATTTAATTATTGCTATAGCTAGATTTAAGCCCAGTATTTTTGCCATTTGTTTTCTCATAGTCACATCTGTTTCTATTTCCTCTTACAGTTTTCTTTAGTGAATTTTTCTTCTTTCATTTATTATGACTACATTTTTCTCTGTGGCCTAGAAACATAGTACCTGGTTGTTAGTTATTTTTGTGTCAGTTTCACTATCTGGGTCATTTGGGGTCTTTTTCTATAGACTCTCTTTTTCTCCTCACTGGTCATATTTTATTCCACGCTCCCTCCTCCCACCCCCCATGCTTCTATTAATTTTTATTGTTGATAAATAAGCAATCTTGTACCTCTTTTATTCTGTTATCTTCCTCTGCAGCCTTTATCAGTTAACTTGCCCGAACTCTAACACTACCCTCTTTCTTTCATCTTTTAGGCTGTGACTTTCTCCAGGGCCCCCTAGACTCTTCCCTGAGTGTGAGTGTATGGTTCAGGGCCATACAGGTATTTAGTTGGGGTTCATGCATACATTGTAAGCTCACTTTTCTGCAATACTTTCCTTTGCACATGCTGTTGAGTGCCATCAGGTGAAAAGTAACATGAAAGCTAATCTTACGGGGTGAGATTTCCTCTTCCAAAGGCCATCTTCACTCTAGTTTCTGCCAGTTTGGGTTACTCTCCAGTGCCTTTAAACAGTACCTTTTTTTTTTTTCCTTTCCCAGAATGTATTAAGTGTTAGAGTTCTCTAATATAGTAAAAAATTATTTTAGTGTACATAAGGTATAAGTACAAGGTTACTTATTAAAATGTATATCTCAGATTAGTAGGTAGATTATTTTTTTTATATATATAGAAAACAAATCTATTTCAGAAATCTATAGCTCTAGCTTACATTTCTTTTATTTTATTTTAAATTACTAAGATTCCCAAAAGTGATTGATTGTGATTTTAAGTAGACTGTCAAAATTTTATTTTCTCAAAGTAGTTTTCAAATTCAGCTAATGATATATAGTATATTTTAAAAATCTGCATTTCAAAACATTTTTTACTACGTTTTACATAGATTGTTGAATGTTTTATTCCTTTGTTTTTGATGATTAACTTAATAATTTAGACAACAAATGCAGATAATCATTGAACAGCTATTGAGTAAAAAGCAGCCGTCAGAAAATAGAGTTCTTATTGGATAGCATAAATGTGATATGTTTTGCCAAAAATGTCCTGAGGTTTTCATAATTTTAAGGAGTGGGTTTAAAAGAAGTTTATTTTTAGGAAAAATGTACCATATACAAAGATTTTATAGATTTGAGAAGTATTAACTTAAAAGAAGTGGTGATAATTTTGTCAGGCATAACTAAGTGCTTTAAAAAAAGAAAAAATCAAAACTGTTGAGATAGAGCCTGCTCATCAGCTGCGTTAGGTAGAATTGTATTTGAAGTTCTGTTGTACCTATATGGCAAAACAAGAATATTCAGCATTTTTATTTCAAAATACCTCGTTTAGCATTGCATATATATTTTATAATAGATGTTGAAGAAAATGAAGATATTGGCGCAACCTCTCTGCCCACTCAGCCACCTCAGCCATCATCTTCGACTTACGACCCCAGCAGCATGCCATCGAGCAGCTGTACTGGAATACAGATTCCGCCCGGCGCGCACGCTCCAGCTAATACACCAGCAGAGGTGCCTCATGGCACAGGTAGGAAATTAAACCTCAACAAGGTTGGAACTCTTCTTTCATAAATATTAACTGCATTTCTTTTCATATTTGTGCCTCATAAGGATGACCATAAAGCATAAGATCTATACATTCTCTTTGAACCCACAAAAAACATTATATCCTCTTCGTTAAAGTTTTAATATTAGTTGTATTTTAGTTTTGTGAGAAATGACAAATTTACACATTTTGATTACTATTAACCTTTTATTAATAAAAATAGCTTTTGTGCTTTTTTTCTTTCCCTCTCGGTCCTTCCAGTTCATTGTTCAAAGAATAGCACTGAGGTAAAGGGGCTTTTATCATAGGATGTGTCAGTCAGCGTCCCACTGTAATAGCAAGGTTCGATTTTTCCTGCCTCACTTCCTTAGGACCCTACTCTGCCCTCAGCATGGGTTTTGTTGATGGAGGGGAGCAGGCTTTGAGCCACAGAATCTCAGTAGCACTGGAATCACAGACTAGTGAAAGGAGAGGCTTTGGGTTATTTTCTTTTTTTAAGATTGCAAACTTGAAACTGAAAACAGGAAAGTGATATCTACTATCTTGGAGTAATTCAGAACTGTATGTATATGTTTTTATAGAGAAAATATCTGATAAAACTAGTCCCCAATAAGTCAATGTCAGTAGGTAAAGATATTTTTAAAAGTTGCAAAGAGATACTCTTCCATACATTTCTGTTGTCAATAAAGCATCACTTTTACTCCCAAATAGAAGAGCATTTCAAACTATATTTTAAATCTTTAACTTATTTTTTTTACAAATTGTTCTTAATATTTTACTTTTATTGCAGCAGGAGGGTAATCTGTGGTAATATACCATACAAACCTTTCATACTGCTTAATTGATAAAACGAGAGTTATCTTTTGAGTCCTGATTGCTACCGTTTCTATTATGCAACCCACCATTACTTAACTTTCAGTTGCCAGCCTCAGTTTACCCAAACTATTTAGATTGCTTAATGTGAATTGAATAATATTTAAAAGGTTTCTATTTTGACCATTTTGGCAGTAATTATTAGTGTCTTACTATTTTAAAACTTTCAACTTTATATTATCTACAAATATTACTGATATTTTTGTCTTTAAGAATATTAATGAGAAAGTAATAATTTTAACACTGATCTCTTTTGGTGTCATCATTCTGTATATTTTAACCTGACTTTATTGTTTTATGGTCTGCGTGATGACATCAATAGGCAAACCAATTTGAATTACTTTTGTAAGTAAAATGTTATAGAGCACTGTTTTAAATATTTTATTATCTTTTAGAAATAGTCCGTATTTCCAGTATGGAACGGTATCAGTGAAACCAGCTACTCAGGTGTTTTTGCCTTAGATGAATACTGTTTGAATCATAGTAGTAAATTTAATCATTAATCAAGAGCCTCAGACACAAGCATCCATATAGAAGAGTGAAGTAAGAATAAAGTACATTTGTTAAACCAGAAACTTAACGGTTATTCAACTTCTTTCAGCCTAGGGGGTTTTTCCTCTTTCTAAAATGAAATTAATCATACATCTCATTTGTTATTTTAATTATCAAAGGGGGGAAAAATGAAAATTGACTAGTTCTATGCCTAACACAAAATCAGTGTTCAGCAAATTAGCTTCCTTTCCGTTTTTTCCTTCTTCCTTCCTATTTCTATGCCAAGGAAAGACAGGCTGTTTAATAGCAAGTTAATGAACACTTAAAATCATTTGTGAGTCAAGGGAAATGTCACATGTGGGGATAGGATATGACCTTACAAAAAGATTGCCTCAAGGGCAATCTTTTAAACAGTGCATCTTAAGGCAGAGTAGTGGTATAGGCATATGCACTTATATTTTACATATAGGCATAATATATGTGTATATGATAGGGAAAGTATACTTCTGGTAGGATGGCTATAATAGGTTGAACCACATGAAATTGCTGTTTTTGTACAACACAAGTGATAAAATATTGGTAGTTCCACATGTTCAAACTAACAGACAATATCTCCAGCTTAGAATATCTGTGACATAAAGAGATATTAGGAGGTAGTCTTCTATTCAGAAATTTTCTGTCATGAACAGTTTATTTTGATCCAGTTAACCTCTGGCCTTTCCACCTCCCCTCCTTTTGTTTCTCAGAGTGACGGCATAAAACTAAAAACCTCTGAACTTTTTTAAATAAGGGCCTATCTTGTTACTTTACATCCTTATAGACTTAGCATTTAAATAATTATTGTAACTATTTTACAAATTTAATTTTACAGAAACTATATTAGGTATCACTGTCCCTAATTTACAAACAGTAAAGAAATGAAGCAGTTGTCTCAAGAAAATTAAAATACAAAAATACCTAGTAAGTGACAGAACTAGAATTTCAACCCAAGTCTTTCTGATTTTATGGTTTTGGCACTTTCATGTCCCTTCCTCCAAGGAACTAAAATTCTATCATATCAAAACCTACTTTTTTGATATATATTTCCCCCTAAGATTGGTTTGAGCTATTGGAATCTTCTCTTAGCTGGCAGAATTTTTTTCTGTTATGTTTAAAAGAGTTTTTAAAAAATCAGTTTATAGTCGCCTAATAGAAAATGAAAAAAAGATTTTTTAGTTTATAAATATAGCAGATGTTTCCCCTCTTACTCACTTTAAGAATGATTTACTTTCTCTCATATAAAAGTTCAGGATGTACTTTTATCAAAAGGAAATCCTTAAGATAGCTGGAAAGAATAGTATGTACTAATATACAGTATTTAGTTCTTCCACGAAAAAGCAAAGGGGGTGCAAGGAGAGCAGGGATGGTGATTGTTTAAAACAGGCCAACTGTTTGCCTCCTGTGCTTTACCCACTGTGATATCAGATGTAGGCAATGCGGTATACTGTGTTTTCTTTCTCTGGAAATGTACACATTTTATAGTTGGTAAATAGAGAGGACGAAGATCTCAGTAAAAATTATTCTAAGTAGATTAAATAATAGGGTGACTTTATAATTAATGCTAGCCTGTTAATTAAAATGCAGCTTACCTCATGTATAGGTCGAAAACTTGGCCATTTTATTGTTGTTCTAGCTGTCAGAAATATTGCATTTGAGTTCTACAGCTTTCAAAGTTGTTTATACTCTGGCCTAATTATTTCTATCAATGATGTTTTCTATGATTATACTGAAGTTTTATTCAACCCAATTGTCCTATTTTTTTTATCTTTGCTTATAGTGTTCCTCATAGATAGCATATCTTTCTCACTTTTTCTCTGCATTTCCAAACGCTGCTACCTTTCAGAATTCTCTTTAATTATACTTTTTATTCTTCTCCATTTTTCTAACCAGTACTTATTTTTCCTTTTTCCCCCACACCATTTTAGTGAGTAGAACAATTTAGTACTTAATTAGAAATCTTGTAACATTTAATTCTTGAATGTATATTAATCTCATCTAATAAGCTATGTAACATCTGCTTAAAAATTAACCAAAAATCAATACTATTTTTTTAATATTGCTCAAATAAAATTGTATTGCATAATTAAATGTTCTCCCTGTAAATTGTTTTGTTTTTGTTAATTGTTATTGCCTACTTAATGATATGGAAACTGATGGTTGCCAGATGGGAAGGGGCTAGAAGTCTGGGTGAAAAAGGTGAAAGGGTTAAGAAGTACAAATTGATAGTTGCGAAATTGTCATGGGATGTAATGTCCAGCTTAGAGAATATAGTCAGTAATATTGTAAGAACTATGTATGCTGTCAGGTGCGTACTAGACTCATTGAGGAATATCACTTCATAGGTCAGATAAATGTCTAACCACTATTGAATGTCAACTATAATTGAAATTTTTTAAAAAATTTAAATCATAAATCATATGGAGATATGCAAATAAATATTTTTAAATTAATGCACAATCCTGACCAAAAGAGGAGTGTGTGTGTGTGTGTCTTCTCTATAGACAAAGGAATTTGGAAGATTTTAATTTAGGCAGAAACATAAAAGAATGGCATTGATATCTAGATTGATCTGTGGGAGGGTTGTAGACTTAACATTTTTTTTTTAAGACATGAATATATATAGTCATCTACCTATGTCTTGGGTATAGCTGCTTCAAAGCACTTGACTAGGTAGTCTGAAGATCTTTCTAAAATTTTGCATGCTAACTTTTTAAAAAATATTATGTAATTTGCCTTTAAAAGTTCAGCCAGTTTTGCGGAGATAATTATGTCAAATGTTTACAGTTTAATATATTCAGTTAGCACTTACCAAAAACAAGCAAAAGATAGACATTGATCAATTTAAGACTTGTATGTCTACTGACTTTGAAGTATACTTCTATAAATACATTCATATAAATATATACACAGTGTAAAAGAGTATTCACTATAGTATTATCTATATTAGCAAAAGGTTGGAAACAACCTAAATGGCCATCATTAATGAATTGCTTTATAAACTGTGATTTGTACATTGATTGGAATGCAGTGTAGCCATTTAAAAGAACAAGGCAGATTTATATATTTTAATCTAGAGTTATTGCTAAGATATATTAAGTGAAAAATGCAGAATAGTGCACAGAATATTACCATTTGCAAAACACGCATACCACAGTGTGCCTCTCCAGAGAGAAAGGAGTTTGTTTGGAGGATTTTGATTTAGGCAAGAACACACATATTTTTAGCAAAGAACATTTATTTTTATACACACACTTTGGACTGGACTTACATATGTTTGTATGTGCATGGAAGGGTAGAGTAGGAATAAGAAATAGACTTTTCATCTATTTTTTTGTACTGTTTAAAATTATACTTGACTTTCTGTTTGTATACCTAGGTACTATTAAATTTTTTACTAGTTCGATTTTTGTTTAAAAAGTAACATTTTTGTGACTTAATAGTTTCAACGGCTATGAAATGAAACTAATTCGCCCTTTAACAAAATTAAATGAGATTAAACTAATGTATATTTAAGCTACTTTTTCTTTTGGGTTGTGAATGAGAAGTTCCTTCAAAGTCAAAACTTCTTACCTGCATACTGTATTTTAGAACTTAAGTCAACCTTTGTGAAACCATCATTCTAGAACTCTTATTGGCTGTTTTTGTTTTCCTGGAAACTTCCCCATTTGTTCTTTTTTTACCCCAATGTGTTTCTCACTTTATCCTTACTACAAATTGCCTATTCAAATTTAATCTGTCATCTTAGAGCAAGTGAATCCTATTCTCTGTTCGAGTGTACTGACATAGATTGACAACTTTTCTTTTTCATTTGTTCTCTTGCTGATTGAATCATTTAGTTTCTGGGAAGTTATAACAGTTTGTGTTAGTTTTTTAGATGATTAATAATCTTCAACCCTAGTATATACTTTGCACTAATCAAGATGCTAGTTATCCAGTGACTATGACAGTCATGACAAGTTCTCACAGGAAGTCAAAACTAATTGCTTATTGGATATATAAAAATATCATCTTAAAAACATGTAAACTAGAAAATTTGGAATATATAATTTGTAATTTCATGCAGTGATGAAGTGAGACTTCATCTGTAAATTTAACTAAATCATAATTATATCACACTTCATGCCCCAAATTATTTAATTGGCTAAGAAATTAAAAGGTAGGAAGGGAGTCTGTTACTTGTACAGATATTTGGTAAGCTTTAATCAAGAAGCGAGTTAAAGCACTAGACATGACAAATACAATACCTAATGGGAAAAGTGTAACCAATATATGTATGTAACACTCAAAATGTATTTTCCTGCATATTTTCTGTACCAGCCTTCAACACCAAATAAGTATATCCAATTAGAATTCATTAAGCTTTCAAGAAAGTAAGAAAATGAAGTAATGAAATTCCTCCATGATCCTTTAAATGCTTTCCTACCTTGTAACTAAGAGGTTTTCCACTTTTACCCATTTGCGGTTTTCTGATTTGCAGGTGTAACAGGTAACACTATCCAACCTACTCCACAGACTATTCCAGCCATTGATCCTGCACTTTTCAGTTCACTTTCCCAGGGTAAGTCAGCTGACTGTTTTATGAGATATAGTGTATCTCTTGTTTTGGGGGGGTGTTTTGTCATTTTACCTTAGGAGTGTTTAGGTAATTTGAAACACATTTCTTTGAATGCCTGTGTTCACTAGATTCTCCAGTGCACCAAGATAGTTTCATATTATCAAAAATACCTAAATCCAAAGGCATTCCCTTTTTTTTTTACAGTTTTTTTTCTTATACTTCTGAAGATACATAGTAGCACAAACATGTAGCCAAAGCTGTTATGGAACTTAGATTTAGTTTAAGATTACCATGTGTTGTGATCATATTTCTCATCTGCATTGAGTTATTAGATCATCTAAGAAGAAGAGAAATTATAATTGAAAATAAAATCTCTGAGGTTAATTATTTTGCTTGGTTCATAGGCTGGGTGATTGGTTTGTTGATTTTAATCTGTCCTCCTTTTCTGACTTCTCTGTTTTTTTCCCCCTAGTTGTTTGTTGTGTTATTTTCGTTTTTCTCATTCAGCGTTTTCTTCATATGTCTGATGAGATTTAGTCCTTTTTATTTAGAATGAAAACCTTGCTTTATTATTTTCCGTTGTGTTGTTGGGTTTCCCCTGTTACTATGTCTGCAGTTCTATTTCCCACTGATTTTCGATTCTCCCTTTGTGAATGGGAACTGGCCATAAAGCTACCTGCCTTTCAGCCATGGAATAAGGGGAGCGAGTTTTTGGGAATGGGGATGGGAGGGGATATCCCATCTCCCTGTTAGTCCTGGTAACATTATGAGCATAACGTGAATTGGTTTAATTGTATTCCTTTAATTCTGTATTCAGTTGGCTTACTAGTCTTACAGCAAAAGGAATTGTCTATAGTTGGTTCAGAATTTAATAAAAGTTAGGGGAGAGGTTGGAAGCATGTATGTGTCTGAGCACAACACACTCTATGTTGATAAGATAATGGTGTCTTCTGGCACCAGGGACTATGTTGGTGACTATACATTTAAATGTATATATTTTACTTATATTTAAATGTAGGAGTTCCATTAGATTTGTTCTACTTTTCCTGGTTTTATCAAAAGTGGATGAATTATGAAACTTAAATTCAAGAGATGCAGTAACCTTTAATCTTGAAAAGTCTTGTTTAAAATTATGTGTATGTTTTATGGGCCAACACAGTGCTCAGGTAGGAAGAATAAATAGGAACCTGTAATAAACTAGCAAATTACATAAGAACAGAATGGAAAATAATTGTTAATAGATAACCTACTTGCCCAGTGAATACAGTATTCCTCTATTAAACTTGGTTTTCAGATGCTCCACTCACTCGTAAAAGCTCTTCCAAAAATCTGATGCAAAAATATCTGAAAAGGAATAGACAGGTCAGTGAAACAGAATAGGCGACACAGTATGAGAATTAAATTAATGATAAAGGTGACATTTGGATCATTGTGGAAAGGATATGTATTCAAGGTGATGTTAAAACAGTTGATTGTAAGGAATATATATGTTATACATATATTAGATAAACTATCTCACAATTCTTATGTCTCATTTGGTTGTGTCTTAACAGCTTTGACTAATGAAAATAAATTGCATACAGCACAAGACTCTCTCCCTCCCATTACGTTGTTAAAATGCAACTAATAGACCAGGATGAAATTGATACTTAATAAAGAATTTAGTATCCAGAGCATATATAAAGAGCTTCGTCAAATAAATAAATAAAACTCAGTAGGAAAAAAAAATAGGCAGAGAATATAAACATATAATGCAAATGTGCAATGAAAATATACCCATCCTTAATAATAATCAGGGAAATCAAGAGTTAAAAAGCATTTGGTTTTATGTCAGTAGATGCAAAAATATTTTAAAAGATTTGTAAGCGACAGTGTTAAACAGGGAATGACTTGCGTGCTATTGGGACTGTAAATTGGTAAAGCTTTTCTTGGTAGCATTCTGTCAGTATCAGAATTGCAAATACAATTTCCTTTGACCCAGCTATTCTACTTAATGAAATCTATCTTAAAGAAATACTTAGACATGGGCATAAAATATATTTACAAGGATATTTATATCAGCATCATTTGTAGTAATGGTGGAAAACAATCTTAAGTGCTTATTAATTGGAAAGCGGTTAAATTAATTACAATCCATCTGTACCAAGGAATACTGTGCACATATTGAAAAAGAATGTCAGATAGTGAATTGGTGGTTGCCAGAGGGAAGTGGGGGAGGTAGAGGGGGTAAGAGGGGTTAAGTATTTGGTGACAGAAGAAAATCTAACTTTGAGTGGTGAACACATAATGCAGTTGTGTACAACATACTATTTATTGAATTGTATACTTGAAACTTATTTGATTTTATTAATGTCACCTCCAATAATTTTTGATTAAAATATCTTTTTAATTTAAAAAAATGTGATAACTCATGTGAAAAGATCTAGACATATTAAGTAAAACAAGTTACAGAACATATATTGTATGACCTGTTTAGGGACAAAAAAACATGTAAAACAAAACTGTATAATATATAATGACTCATACATTGTATATTTTTAAATCCTCCTGTGTGTACATATGTGTGTAAATGCATAGGAAAAGTCTAGAGAATCCACAAAAATAAATAGTTGTTTCATAACCACCATCACTACTGCCTCTATCTAGTACTTCCAACACCCGCTTTCCATTGCATTTTTCTCCTTAGTGCTTAGTGCTTAGTACTTGCTTTACATGTGTGTATTCGTATTAATATATTTTAAATATTTGTGTAGTGAATTTCTGGCTGCCTCTGGAAAGAAAAGTGGTATTGGAAAGGTAGCTTTTGAAGCACAATATTTCCTTTTTTTTTTTTACCTCATGTACCTCTATACAGTATTGAGAATTAAATGGAGTATTTAAAAAACATTTAGCATAGTACCTGACCTAATAAAATTTTACCTCTAATTATTGCAACTGTTGTTGCCATTATTAAGTGACATGTCTTGACAGTGCATGGATATAAGGGTTTTTAGTACCATACTTGCATTTATCACTAAGATTTACTCCAAGCCAGGTAGTGCCTTGAGATCCTGCCTGTACGTTCCATTAAGTCAGAGGATGAGAGAGTTCACCAGGGTCAGATTATCCAAGGTCCTTGACATGCATTTCTCGATCTAGTTAAATAGGAAAGAATCTCTAAAGACTCATTTTGGAAGTATTTATATTAAGTGTTCTTCCTTGGAAACTTGATAAGTCAGCTTTGGGAATGGATGTTCATGTCCGCTGAGCATGTGGAGATTTCTCTTTACACCATGTAATGCTATCTTTGATCAAGTGCTGACCAAGGCTCTCTTTCCAGAGTTCTAATAGAGAACTTGAGTGATAGCTCTAGCTGTCTTCTGTCCCTGTTCTTGTCCTGCTCTGTGAAGGGAGAAGCATCTTTGTAATAAAAATGGTCTTGCCTGAAGCCATCTGGAACTTAGAAGCATGGATTTCAGAAAGAGATGTATTATTAGACAACCTCTCAAATCCTTTAAACATCTTTTAGGTCCACAATATGCTCCCTCTCTCTGATTCTGATTGTGGGTTCTAGTAAATTTTAATAATAGAGAAAACAACTTTTATTTTGGTGCCTTGAGCAATATTTGCTATTTTGAATATACAATCAGATATACTGAAATTGAACTTTTGTTCTCTTCCTGAAATGTGTTTTCCTTTCTTATTTAAGTCTTTCCCACTTTCTCTATTTAGTTTTTAAATGCTAAAAGAATCATAATTAGGAGACATTTTATTTTTATTTCACTTAAAATTTTAACATATTTTAATGACTTACACATTATATTTTTTAAAAGAAGGAAAGACTAACCTGTTAGAAAATAGCAAAAGTAACTATTTGGCATGGCTTAAGTTCTTTATATTTCTAATTGTTGAAAATAAATTAACATCTCTATATAAGTCTTTAAATTAGGTTTTGTATCTAAATCATAACATGGTTATTATCTAGGTTTTTTCGAGTTACAGAATTTGTCGTACATGTCTGTTATGTATTATATATCTGTAATTATATTTTGTTAAAATATTTTCATTCACATTTTATAAATACTGTAATCTTTATTTCATGAAAAAAGTCAGTGTTTTTTAAAATAGTTTTATCATTGGTAGATAAGTTTAGTTTGTAAAACTAAAATAGTAACTGAGTTCTCGCCATTTTACACATTTTATCTCATTAATAAATAAGTGGTATGCCAGCAAAACAATACTAAAGCTAATGCCGTAAAAATAAGATTAGTCCTCAGCATTAGGGCTTTCTTCCAAGCAAGTCTGGTAAATTCTAGATGGATGCCTTATATATTTAAAGATTGCCCTGAGATAGGAGGAGAGAATATTAAAGCTCAAAATGAGCAGTGATGAGGTAAACTCAATTTTTAGGGACTCACTAGGTGACTAGAGCCTCTTAATATATTTTGAAAAACCATTAAAGAATCTGGTAGGTATTTTCAAGAAAAAATACAAGGTGAAGCGTACCTGACTGAATTGTCAGCAGAACTGCAGGGATAATTGTTTTTTAGGTTAATGGGTAACAATTGCCAAGTCACTAAAACACTAAAAGTAAAATTAAAGAGAAACGATTTTTTTAATATACAATTATAATTTACTAGTTTATTGATTTGTATTGCTTGCTTTTTAAGCAAGACCAAAACTCAAGGAAATTAAAATAAGGGTTTATTTTGTAATTGAAATGTGTAATCTATGATTCACAACAGGAAAAACCAACTATTAATGTAATCTTTAATAACACTAATTCAAGAAATATTTGAAGACTTGCTATATATGTAACACACTGGGCTAGTTACCATATGTGGATATATAAGTGTATTATCTTAAAATCTGAAATTTAAGTAATATTTAATTCTGTATGAACTTTATTCATTTTAAAATATTCACTAAAGTTATTGAACACTTACTGGTCACTGGCACTGGGCTAGAAACTTTAGGATACATTGTTTTAGTACTCTTTTGAAAATTAGGAAATAATTTGGATGAGAATTTAATATCAAAATACCTGGAATTGCTATCTACTTTAAAGTCCTTACCTAGGAAATGTTAAAGTTTTTATTTTATGCCGTATATCTTTAGCAAAATTAAAAACAACTAAACAAAGTCATTCTGTTTCTAAGTACAGGCACGTAAACAGAATCAAGATATATTATCCTCGATTTGTTATAGCCTGTGCCCCTAGCCTTCTGATCAATTCTCCTAGAATCCTCATAAAATTTCTAAAGAAAATGGTATTTATTTCAAAAGACAAGATAACAAAGTCAATTTTTAATTTCATCTTTAGAAATATATGTTCAAGTATATTTAAATGTTAGATTGAATGAAATGTTCTTAGTGTGTTTTATTTACTCAAATTATTTACTTGGGCTCTACACATATTAATCATATGTGTAACTGGAAAACTTGCTGAGAATAAATTTTGAAGAAATAATTTGTAAAGATTGTTGACATATTTAATTATGGAGTTTAATGATATAAAAATCTCTGTTAAACCTTAGTTTTTTATATGGATGGCACAGAAGTGTGAATCTTTTCATGCTTAAAAAAAGTTAAACAACTTATGTAATTCTTTACATAAAATTTGTTCTTCCTTATTTTAATCAAGGATTATATTTTTAGTTCAAATGAGGGTTAAATGGTTTAGTCTGTGTGTATTGATCCATGAAAAGAGAAGCAGAGTGATTCTAGCATAAACACCAAAGTGACTGCCCTTGTTTTACTCAGAATATAATTTTTTTGTAAATAATTTGCCAAAATAAAAAGGCTTCTAGTTTATTACTTCTGAAAGAAAAATCTTGCTCATATAAGTTATATATCGGCATAGGTATGTTTTATATTAGTAATAAAAATGATAGCATGAGAAAATTTATTTAAATACAACTGGGATTGAAAAAAATCCTCCATGTAGTTATATAACCTTAAATATTTTGTATAATCTTGAATGTAAGCATTTACCTAACTTAAACAGAATACTTTTTACATTTTTATAGATATCTTAATTATTTTCCTTCTAGGGGATATCCGTCTAACACCAGAAGACTTTGCTAGAGCTCAGAAATACTGCAAATATGCTGGCAGTGCTTTGCAGTATGAAGATGTCAGCACCGCTGTGCAGAATCTACAGAAGGCCCTCAAGTTACTGACTACAGGCAGAGAATGAAGCCTTTGTGCAACAGATCCATGCATTTTTGGCTTTAAGAACTAACAGTCCATTACTCTATCTTCAGCCTGTCAGGAGCACAGTTTAAGGAAGACTTTGGTTCCATTGAACATAACACTGAAATCTGTGTCCGTGTATCAGATTCCTGTTGAAGCATTCATCAGCAGCCTCAGCCAGTTTTCATTGTCCATTTAGTGGATCCAATAATCTCTGGCTAGATAGGGCTGATGTTAGCAAGATCCTAGAATTGAACCCTGCTTCGGAAAGTGAAAATACAGTTCTATAAAATATATTGAGAATAAGCTTTGTATCTTAATTTACATAAATTAAGGAATTTTTTTAATCTGTAGTTTGGACATATATTACTTTGCTATAAAATTCTAAATTTAACTTTTAATAAAGATTGCCGGAATATTCCAGATTAGAAATCATGTTTTTTGTTTTCCTCAGAATTTATAAAACAAATATAAATGTCCTAAATTGTTAGATGAATCTGAAAGAGATTATGTTCAAAATTCAATTTGTATTCGTGTTAATTATAACTACATTAAAAGTTAAAATTTTCATGGAAGGAGTTATAAGGTAAAGAGGTAGAATTCCTTTTAGACTAAGAATAATGTTGGTTTCCCAGCTGCTTTCCGTTATCCATTGAAGCGTAAGGTGAATCGGTATTTGCTTCATAGGCAGATTGCATGTATTAGAGAATGAAAAAAAGACATTTGTAGTAATGCCTGGAAACTTGGTGCTTTAAGTTAAGATTCGCCTCTGCTGCTATGGAATGGATTCTCTAGGGTGCAGAGCTATGAATGATGCAGAAGATTAGAAGAAATTAGATTCTTGGTTAAATTTATAAGTTTTGTGGGGAATTTTGGACTAACTGTCACCTACATTTGTGCTGTGTAAAAAATAAATACAAGGATTCTTTTAATTAGTTCAGCTTATTATGGAACCAAACATCTGTTTTGACTTGCATGCTAGAATTTTTCACTTTTTGTCATTATTTTTAGTTATAAGAATATGATGTTCCTATAGTAAAATACAAGCAGTTTTTTTAAAAAAGAGAAATTTGACAAATTTACCTGGAATTTATCTGGTCCATTTCATATATTCCACTAAGATTGAAGTTCTTTAATATATGGGTCAGCAAACCAATATCCATAGACTGGCTACTTGTATGAATTAATTTTTGTTGAATCAAAACCATACCCATTCATTTATGTTTTATCCTTAGTTGCTTTCCACAACTTCCACAACTGTAGAATTATATGGCCTGCAAGTCTAAACTATTTACTATTTGGCCCCTTAAGAAAAAGTTTGCTGACCCCTGATCTAAGTCTATCTAAAAGAAAATAAATTATTAACTCGTAACCAGTTGTGTCTATTTTTCTTTGCATAAGTATAATGCTGTTGTATAAGGTTTAAAATGGTAAATATTCAAACAAAATAAACTCTTCTAAATTATTGCAAAAACAAGCCCCAAATAATCTGACTCCTGAAAAATGTTCCCATATCTTCAGAACTAAATTCTTACAGCATTTGTAGGGTTAAACATTTACATCTAGAAATCCAGTGCTCTGATATAGTTCTCTAGAATTTTATTGTAATAAAAAAGTGGTTAGAATTCAGAGTTGTAAGAGGTAAAAATTTTAATCTAAATCTTAATATGTCTGCACACTAGAAAGCAAACTGTCACCTCTTATTTTACACCCTATTTTTATTGATCCCAATTGGAAGAGCACACATGGAGGGAAGGCGGTAATGTGGAAATCCTGGAGTCCACTGATAAGTGGGCGATGGTATTAGAGTCCTTAACTAAAATGGAAGCAACACACCACTAGCCACCTCCAAGTTAGTTATGAGAACTAAATGAAGTCCTACACTATACTCAGCATGTAGTAGTAGTCCATAAGTGCTTACTGTTAACATTAAGGTTATATTAATATTGTAAATTGTTAATAATTTATTTCCCAAATATCAGTAAATTCGTTTTCTCTGTGGCCCATTGCTTTAAAATGCTTTCTTGCATGAGGAGATGAAACTATATATATATTTTTTCCTTTGTGTTTCTTCATATAAAATCTGACAAGACAAAGTTAGAAATTTTTCCGACGTGACACTCGGATAGTGACATTTAGTCATTCAACATGTATTCATTGAGTAGCTACTTTGTACCTGATATTGTCCTTTGCATGAGTAAATAGTAGAAAACAAGGGAGAAAACCTGCCTCAGTTTATATTACAATGGGAGGAAACAGACAAACAATAATAAATGTCATGTATTCTACTAGTGGTTTTCAAAGAGTAATTGTTAGAAATGCAAATCTCAGGATCTACCCTATTCCCATCCAATCGGAAACTCTAAAGGTGGGGCCAAGCAATCAGAAGTTTAAGAAACACTTTCCATAGTCCGGTGGTCCCTGAAGTTTGAGTGGTTTAGCCCTTCCCAAATTAGAAAGGTTGAGAGTCTGGAAGAAGAGATTCCCCCGAAGCAGTGGTTCTCGAAGTGTGATCCCTGGAACCCCAGTGTCAGCATCAACTGGGAACTTGTTAGGAACCTCTGGGAGAAAACTAGAATATGGGATAGGATGTACTTAGGTGTGTGCAGACCTGTGTATTTAAATAGGTTATGCCTCACTGAGATGACTTAAGCAGAGAAGGAAAGATAGGAAGATATTTCTGGCAGAGGGAGGTAGAAGAAGTTAGAGGGTATAAGTAAGGAAGGCTTGTGAAGTTGCTGGAAAGTTTAGGAACATAAAATTTTGTAAAAAACGACTTTTACTCTAAGCAAGATGGAGAGCTACTGAAAGTTTTGAACGGAAGAGTACCTGATGCGACGACTTTTAAAAGGGTCATAGCAGCTACTGTGTGGAAGCTGGGAGAGTAAAATTACAATAATTAAGGTGAGCTATTCTGATGGCTTAGATCAAGGATAGCAGTGGAGGTAAAATATTGATTTATGGCTATTTTAAAGTAGAGCCACAGTATTTCTGATAAACTGGATCTGAGGTATGAGCATAGGAGTAACGGTTGACTCTCAGGTTTTAACCTGAATACCTGGAAGGAATGAGTAGCCATTAATAGCAGTGGAGAAAGTTGCTGAATTCTGACATTTAGGCTGAAGAACAGTGATCCCAAGTTCTTCTGACCATCCCAAGTGACACTATTTGATAACATTGTTTTGTCAATGCATACAGAGAGGGAAGAAAAAGTAAGATAAAGATCTGTCTACAATGATTGTCACAGACATCTCACTAAATCACTGCTGAACTGGAGCTAGAAGCTGAGGACAGTTCCCATGGTTTGCACTGCGAAGGAAGTTCAGTCTTCAAGATTACACCAAGAAAAAGACCCCTGTTACAGATCTTGAAAATTCACACGTTCAGGTGTTCATAGAATTGATCTATATACAATTTGTACTTCTAGAAATTCGAGGTGACTGTGTATGTGTTAAGGTTATATGCTGTCCTTTCCAAAGAAATTTACACACTAATAGCATTGTTACAAATATCTTTAAACAATAACTGACTAGGGATTGAGGGTTTTTGTTCATCTGTTCAGCTTCCTCTCCCTACTCATCCCCTCTTTTAATTTTTAACTTTACTCATTTTATATACCAAAGCAATTGGATCAGATCATCTAATTTGGACTATAAACCTCCACCAGTAGAAAAGATCTTTTCTTAAAAGAGATCACAAAATGATAAGACACCATTCATATGGAGGTATGCATACATGGTTGTAATCTCCGATGTCTACGTAGAATTCTGAGACTGAAAGCTCATTCATTGGAGTATATTAAGTAGGACTACTTCCAAGTAAGCAATACTTTAATAACAGTAAATGTAGCTAACATTTGAGTGCTTACTAAATACCAGGCACTATGCCAAGTATTTCACATGTATTAATTCATTTAATCCTGCCAATGATCCTGAGAGGGGCTCCTATCCTTGCTTTAGATGAGGAAACTGAGCCAGAGGGTAATAAGTTTGCCTGAGGCTGCATAGCTAACATTGCACAGCTAATAATTTCTAAGCTCAGACTGCCTGTTTCGGACAATAAGTATCATCCATGCAGGCAAATCGTCAGTTAAACTATTATGAGTACAGTGAGATGTGGTAAGTGAACTCCACATTATAAAGTCATTGGTCACAATCAGGGTCACAACTCTTATTAGCAGGATATGTAACAGATTATTAATTTTTATTTTCTATTATCTGGGCACTGTGTTCCAATTAACTGTGGGTTCTAGGCATTGAGTATAGGGCATGAACACACACCCTGGAGCCTATGGCTTGATAGCAAAAGGACTGAGAGTCCAAGGGGAAAATAGAATTTAAATGAATTGTGCAATGGATTAGTATGTCATCTAGGAGAGGGTGTCCCACATTGCTAGGGAGTCCCGAGTTTCCCATACATTCCTGTTTTTTGTTTTTTGTTTTTTATCCCAAATAACATTACTATTTTTATTTTAAACATACAGTGTTTATTTTAAACATTTTTGCTTTAAAAATACATTGCATTAAATAGCCTTCACCTTAGGAGGAAATCAGACTGGCATATGGACTTCAATATAAATGTAATAATAATGTTTATAATTAGTTATTTCCTCAAATTTCTACTTGAAAGTCTGAGGCAAGAGTGCCTGTCCCTTCAGATATCCCCTAAAGTTTGGGGGAAAAGAGATGATTGTATAATAATAGTCCATGATATAATTTCCTGGGGAACTAGTTTTATAGTTAAGTGATATTAGGAGATCTTGTAAAAATATTAGCATCATTCATTTATTCAAAAATGTATTGAGCATCCATTGTCATTTAAAGTATATTGTGATAATGCCACATTGGAGGTATTGTGTGAGACAATAGTTCTTCATGGGGAAGGTCAGGGAAGGCTTCAAAGAAAAGGTTGAGCTGAAGGTTTACTAGGCAGAGAAGCAGGGAGAACTGAGCAAAAATTAAACCAAGAGCAACAGCATGGAGAAAAAAAAATGTAGGAGATTCAGGAAATTCAAGTAATTTAGTGTAGCTAGTGTAGCTGTGGCAGATGGCCTACTGAGAACAGGAGTTGTATATGTGAGATGGCACAGGCAGAAAGGTGTTATGGACTGAATTGTGTTCACCAAACTTCGTATGTTGAAGGCCTACCTCCCAATGTGATTGTATTTGGCAGTATTTTTAAGAGGTAATAAAGCTTAAATAAAGTTATTGGAGTGGATCCCTAATCCCATAGGACTGGTGTCTTTATAAGAAGAGGAAGAGACACCGGAAATATTTCCCTCCCTCTCCTTCCCCTCTTCCCTCCCCACCTCTCTTTCC